TACAAATTCTTAAACAGGTAGCGACCAGGACAGGGTTTCAGACAAGCTCAAGACATACCACGCAAAGACCTTGCCCAAGAACAGGGTCTTGACAGGTTGAATTGTGTGTCTGAGGCGTCTGGGAGGGTGTGCTTGACTGAGGTAATGATCCAACTGAAAGAGAGAGAGCGAGTGATAATATATTTAGTATCTGGATCCAAACTACTTACCACAGCCTTTTAAAAGACCTACCTAAACTTGCCATCAGCATATTAACAGAGTAACCAGAGGATGATGAAAAAGGATGGTAATTCATTGCTGTCACGCACCGCAAAAGCAACAGCACCAATAAAAGCTCAAATGGCTCCCTCATTGTGAGGCTTTTAAATATCAGGGAAGCTTTCCCCAAATTGTTTCATATTGATTCCCATGAAATCCTGATCAAAGACAGAAACTAGGACTGGAAACATGTTTGCTATTAAATTTAACCCACAACGTCTTTCTTGACTGCCCTTTGCTTCAAGCTTACGACATTAGTGACTGCATGTCTTACAAGGTATTACCCGGAATATTTATAATTTTCAAGAAAAGGTTATGCCTGCTCAGAAAAGCACACAATTTGCATCCAGCATGGTTGAAGTGGCAATGGAAATACTCCACTAAACAATAAACAGAAGTTGTTGAAAATTATCCTCAAAAAATCTGTTCTTTTTTCATCTTCTTAGATCATTATCTAGTAAACTAGGATGAAAATATCATGAAAAAATCCTCCTATATTAAAGGGACACTTTCACCCATTTGCCATTAAGCCCATTGTATCGTTAGAAACCCCAGGTCATTATTTTTGCAATGCGTACACGCATTCCCTCATCTTTCCCCTGAGACGAGAGATTAATACAGATTTCCAGTGTTTGCTGCGTGTTCATTTTGCGCATCACTTGAACAGGAAGTCTCATATCTTTGGTAGAGGGGGTGAGAACATACAAAACACTTCTTTTAAAAAGTGAGACTACAAACACTCTTTTCTCGGTCAAATAGGCACCAAATTCAAAATTTATGTTACATTTCGACTACATATATAACCCACTTTCAATAAAGATTAATGTTTCCACGGGTGAAATGCTTCTTTAAGTGGTGTCCAGTTCAAATTACTAATGCAGACGCATCTATCCTCTGCAGCAAATATATGGGAACTGTTCCAAAAAGCTCACTTCATACTATCATGGTTGCTCACAGAACCTCTTATTTGAAAAGCTTTGGTACTCCTTTTTTGTTTAGTGAAGCTCGTCATGGCTGAACGCAAAGTGAAAAGCGATCTTACATAATGACCCTGCAAACAAGCAGCTCTTCACCAGGATGAGAGATAAATGATCACACGTTAATTAACAATATGCAATCTCGAATGTCTGCGGTGGGTTCAAAGCCTTTCCCAAGAACTTAAAACAGAGAGAGAACAAGCAGCGTGTTTACAAAAACGAGCGTCGGTGGAGATGTGAGAGCAGAGAGGGTGATGGAGGGAGGGAATACACGACTTTAATATCCCTGCAACATAATTAACTTGTTATTGCTGTTTCACTGAAGTTTCTAATTAGCTTGAAGGCTGCAGCCAGTGCTATTGACGAGAATCATTTCAACCCCTCAAATTGGTTTCTGTGTGTTCCAGAAATAAAAGATCTTCCTCCCTTCTCATAGGAGAACTGTATCTTGGCATACACCGGTCTGCAGAATGCATACTAATGGCACAAGCCAGGAGAGGGGAGGTTGATTGAAAACAATGACTTTTGTTGCTGTGCGTTTTACTGAAAATTTGTTCCATTGATGTGCTGAATAGCTGTCGTGGCCTGTTAGCTGGGAGCTGAGCTGGACTGTCACTAAAGGGTTGAGCTTTATGTGTTTCGTGTGTGTGTCAGTAGTTGCTCTCGTTTATAGGTTTGAATCAGTGGAGTCCTCCCATACAGAAAAATCTCTCTACCCCTACGCCTCCAGACTATTTTCTCCCTCTTTCACGCCACACACAAACACACAAACACACAAACACACACACACACACACACACACTGCATATCCTAATTTGATTCTTTCCAAAAGCCTGGTCTCAGTGGAGCATTGTGTGGGTTTTGTTTTCCACGGTGACTGGAGGGCGGGATAATGGGGCACAATTAAATTGCGCTCAGCTTATTTACTTTTATCTGTGAAAACAAATTGGCTGCACAGTCAGGGACGGCGGTCTGAGTCTCAAAACCCCACAAAAAGGTCCACAGAGGAAGACAGCCAGGGAAGAAACCTCATTTTACCAAACTTTGTCAATTACAACCGCAATTATTGGTATCCTTTCCTTTTACGCTACAGCATTTAGACAACACAATTTTCTCCTTTAAGCGCTGTTGGTGCCTCTTAGGTTACATAAAGCTTACATAAGCAAAGTAATCAGGGGTTAGACAAAGAGAAAATTAACAATGGGTGAAATCTATTTCCCTAACTATGTGCTCAAAAAGAATCTAATCTAGCCAAATACGCTGTATATATTCAAACTAATTTACAGTACACTGAGAACTTTTTACTTTCACTTTCAGCTCTGTTTCCTTAATGATATCTAAGGGACAAGAAATACTCCCATCACACATTAAACATTAGAGAAGCTAAGTGCAAATAAATGCTAAATTCCTTTTCTTCATTATCAAGTGAGCTACTGAATTATTGTCTTGTCCCAGCAAGAGCCAGCCATTCACACCACTAATGCCAACCACAGCAACAACTATTGGTGGGGAGGAGAGGAGAGGAGAGGAGGAAACAGAGATGAGATGTCTGGTGCCTGAAGGGATTCCTCACTTTCATCTTTAAACCCTCACAGTGCATGAGAGGTTGAGAGAAAGGGGAAAGCCAGAGATGGAGAGATGGGACTTTATTTTGATCTAGCCTTGGTACGGCTTTGATAGCAAGCTAACCTGACGAGACCTCACAGACTGCTTAAAAACCAAACACTCGCTCCGTGCACTGCACTCTGCATGCCTGCGTGTACATTTCAGCAGGTGTTTGTGTGCACATGTAAATCCACACCTTGAAATAGGCCTCGGGACTGCGAAGGTGTTAGATAACTTAAATGCATCAAAGTGATCTTTGTTATCATATTTTGTGGGTCTACTTTGTTTATCAAAAGACATAATCTTTCTCTTTCAACCCCCTGGTCCCCTCTCTGGCTCTCTATTACTTATTTTTCTTTTGCTCTCCATCTCTATTCTGCTCCTTTTTCTCTCAGATTCCAATTACCACACTCCCACTTGTTCTCTGTCGTGTCTTTAAACTAAACAGTCACTTGTCTAAATGCCTGTAAGATTTGCAGCCCCGATAGCAGAGAAGTGAGACCTCCGCAGCCTCAGGTAAACACTTGACTCGCTCTTTTACCCTGGAAATTGAATTTGATCCACTGGCGGGCCCACCAGCATAACTGACTTTTATTGCATCTGACTCATATCTCTGCCTCTCACTCATGTTGTTATATCTCGGATGAAAGCAGCTGCAACAAGGCCTCTGTTGAGCATGTAAGCCAAATAATAATGGGCTAGTTAAATTTCAAATGCTAATGGCACGCTATAACAGAATTGGCATTTTAGGCTTTAATGCATCATACAAAACCTTGTGATCCAATTTCAGACTAATTAACAAGTGTACCTTTCAGCTTATGATAATTAAGTCTGAACATTCAAAGGGAGTCAAAGTTATGCACATATTACCTGACTCTGTAAATGCTGTTCATGGATGGTATGGTAAAAAACCTGCCGAATGACTGAAACTCCATCTGTCGGTTACATTATAGAAGATATTTTGCAATTACTATATTTAAATCTGCGCTAATTAATTTTATGGCCTCTTGTGTAGCGGAAGAAAGCAGTAAACACAACACTGATATAGCAAAGTTGTCAGCTAACAGCTGCCTATTCACACGCAGCAAACTGAGCAACATTCATTCAGAGTTGTGTTTCTGGCCACTTGATGAATGTAAGTTCCATGTCCACTCTCCTTTTAACTCTGTTTTAGTCTCCACCAACTCCTGGGGGAAATATTTAGCTCCTAAGCTGCTAAATGCTCCACTATGTTCATTAGCTAGTTGCTAACTCTCTGCATTCTGATGCTGAAGTTGAATTTAAACTTCAAAAAATGCTTTTCCTCTTGAATCTGTCACACATTCAACACCTCAACAGTCCCGGTTGGAAATGCAATAAAATTAACATGATTTAGTTACCTATCATATTTTGCTTCATTGGTGGATCATGGCATCTACACAAGGAAAAATGCTGTTTGATAAAAAAAAAAAAACAAGCATATTTTCTGTGCTATATTTGAGAATTAAATAAGCAGACAAGTCATGCATCCTACTTATTCCCTAGTGCTGCAAAGTGTTTCTCTTGTTGCTGTCATCCTGAGCAGAATATGTCCCATTCCTCGCAACTCATTAGTGAGAGTGTGAGCTACAGTCATGGATCCTGGCTAGAAGTAAATAAACTGTTACTAAAAGCCCTCGGGGGTATGTGAGACGGTAGAAGTTGGCAGGTATGGAGAGATAGAGGGAGAGAAGTAGAGTGGACAGATGAATTAGACTGAATAATGTTGAATTCGTAGTGTAGCAGTATGAAGCCTTTGTAGTGAGTTGACCTGACAAGATCTCTCTTGTGCATGCGTGTCTGTTGGTATGCATGTCCACATCTGTTTACGCGTGGATATTAAGTGCATGTTTGTACCTTGAAAAGAGCCCTGAGGCAGTAAGGCAACATGAAAAAGTTTTATTCATCAAAGTTATCTTCGTTAGCACACCTTCTGGCTCTACTTTTCATGCCCTATCTATAAACTTCATCTATTTTCTCTCTCCATCCCTCCCCCACAGTTCCCTTGCTGATTCCTTTTTTTCCCCCCTTAAATCCAAAGTACCACATCATGCCCACCAGTGTTCCTCTTAATTCTCTAAACAGTCTTTAATGTTTAAGTGCTGAACCTATCATTTAAGGACAAAAAGATTCCAATGATTGTTATTTAGAGTACAGCCTGGCCACATGGGGAGTGGTGAACTGGGGATATGCAGTTTAAAGTTAATATTTCAGTCACACTGAACGCTGGGCTGAACATCGATATCTACCCACAACGAAGCTACGATCAACCAGTGGAAAAAAACACAGTGTGCATGTGCACGCGCGTGAGTGAGTGCGTGATGAGCAAAGAATCGTTCAGTTGCTCCAATCACTCTGTATGCCAGTAAAAAGGGATGTGTTATATTGAAGTGCTCCCACTGGGGTGATCAGCAGCTGCAGGGTGTGATTTGCTCAGAAAATGAGGACGATTTCCATTGGATGTTTCAGTTTAATTTTCCTGCTGCTGGAATTTTTCACTGTAGTGTGTGAGTGTAGGTGATGAGATTTCAGTATGGATGGGGTCATAGCTCCATGTACAGATGCAATGATTATAGGTTTGCCAGTATACGGTGATTCATTCTGGCCACACATTTTATTTCACCTTAATGAAAGCAACAGCGAGAAGGCTTTATTTAGACCTGTAATTATCACAATCTTGGTATATATTCTAAGAAACCGCATCCTTTCAAATCATAGACCTAGCTGAGATTTTCTTTAGTACAATATTTTATGCATTTCCTTTGTGTCCATATGTTGTATTGTATTCATTTTAACATCCTGCAAACATGTTATCCATCCAAAGCCTCCTCATTCCCCGTATACCTGCATGTTTTTGTTCAATTATTTATCCAATAATGTAATGCTGTATATACACACACATATATAAAGTCAACCTTGAAAATATTATGAATAAGATACTGTAGATAAGATCAAACATCACTGATGAAATTAGGTTCTGTCAGCAAAAGCATAATAATCCATAGAGGGTAAACAGTGCAGAATGTAAGCAAATAGCTGGAATATTAGTAAAAGCAATTTTATAAGAAATTATTGACATGATGCTCTCCGCATGGTTCACGAATTTAGCAGAAAGGAGGTGAATCAATGATTCTGGTTAATGACATGCCTCCTTCTGGCCGTTAGGGGGTAGATGGGCTCTCCACAAGTGAATATGTGAGTGAGTTAGTCCGGACATAAAGGGAATGCATCTGAGAGATGTAAATATGAGATATGAGATTTAAATTTAAATCCTATAAAAATCATAATGTATGTGCAGCAATATTGCTACACTACATGATGTGCTAACATGGTATTCAAATTCCAAATTCTACAGGAGGCCACACATACAGAAACAATTTCTTTTTGGTTCTCTTTTTAGAAAAACAACCACTTTCTTGGCAAACTGCCAGTGCAACTCCAAATTTATTCTGATTTGGATGCTACCAATAACTAGGTTTTACAGGTGGTTTCCTTAAATTGCAGCCTGCAGCCAAATCAGAACATTTTAGCACAACAAAGTCTGTAATAGTTTAGCTGAATTCTCACTCCATCCTTGACAGCTACTGACTGAGGCTTGGCTGTATTGATCTGCACTAAGCTGTTTAACTGCACAAAACTCAGGAGCACACAAACAACCCCACCCCACTCCGCACACACACACACACA